GTCCCAGCTACTCCTGTCGTCCCAGCTACTCCTGTCATCCCAGCTACTCCTATAGTCCCAGCTACTCCTGTCGTCCCAGCTACTCCTATAGTCCGGCTACTCAGGAGGCTGAGGCAGGAGGATCGCTCGAGCCCAGGAGTTGGAGGTTGCTGTGAGCGAGGCTGACGCCACGGCACTCACTCTAGCCCGGGTGACAGAGTGAGACTCTGTCTCAAAAAAAAAAAAAAAGATCCCACATTTAAGGAAACAGGGACCCGGGGAGGAGAAATGACCTCCCCAGGTCACAGGACCAGCCAGGGCACAGCTGGCACTGACTGGAGGCTGATCTGAGACCCCCCCCCTCCACCCCTTCGATGTGTCTCAGAATCAGGCGGGGCGCGTGCGGTGGCGCCATCGGGCCCTCTGCTTCCTTGGGGCAGGTGACAGGCCAGCAGCCACGCGGTCCGAAAGCCCCGGTTTCAGCAGAGGACGCCTTCTTGGAGTGGCCAGGGACAGGGCTGTGGCTCTCTCGGTGGACGACACTCACCGGCTTCCTGGTATCAGGGACCCTATTGGGACACTCAGCTAATCTCTGAGCCCCTGCGAGCCTGGAGCTGCTCTCTGTGCTGGGACCCAGAGAGGTGCAGCAACTGGCCTGAGGTCACACAGCCGTCCCTGGAAAAGAGGGGACCCAACGCTAGACACTGACTGCTCCTTGCCCAGGGGGGTCCCACTGGGGACTGGGGCTGCCAGTGGGCAGCGTGTCCACCCACCCAGGCCGGAGACGACTCAGGGGACACTGGCTCTGAAGGTGGGACCCCCTGGGGCGGGGTGGGGGGGGTGCTGTGGCCACCTGGGCCACCTCTGGGCTCCAAGGAGACAGAACCAGTCTGGGGCACAGCGGCTCGTTACAGAAACCTGTTTAATGGTTCAGGAACATTGGCTCTGGAAGTTTCCAGAAAGGCAACTTTTCCATGGTTTTTAAAAAATAGATCTGATAGAAAGATTCATAGATTCATAAATAGGGAACCGTGAAAAATGTCCAAATGCAGATGACCCCGCGCCCTGCCTGCCCCGAGCCCCACGAGTCAGAGCGTCCCGGCTTGGGGACACCCCAGCCCTGCGGCTCCCCTGGGGACAGGGACAGAATTCAATGTGAATTAGACACTCTGTCACCTCCCTGCTCCGTGGGACCTGAGTCTCTGGGGTGACACCCTTTCCTGGGAGGACAAGCAGCCACCTCTGGGAGTCCGGATTTGTGTCCTTTCCCGGCGACACCCTGGCTGAGCCCGTGGACAGTGGCTTTGCGTCTCAGATTGGGCGGGGGGGGGGGTCACAGGGGTGTCATTCTGGCCAGGTGGCGCTAGGGGGACAAGGCGTGGGCTTGCGTGGGGCCAGTTCTGCTCCCAGCCGGGTCATCTGTGGATTCTAGAGGACACGACCCAAAGGGCAGGTTGGCAGAGGGGACAGGAGTCCGGGGGAGCCCGGATCTCTGGGGTCAGCCGTTTTTGGGGGGCTTCCCTTGGCCGTGGGGTTGGGGGTGGCGGGGTCCCTTCTGCCCGGCATGTCTGACATCCTGGGCTTGTGCAAAAAAAAAAAAAAAAAAGTTGAGGCAGAAATTCCTCAGTCGCTGGGTGAGCCCAGAGGCCACCAGCGTGTGACAGGGACCTCCCGGGGCCCAGGCTTGGCCAGCCGCCACCTCCTCGCTTCCAATCCAGCCTCTGCGGGGCTTCTGCCTGGGGGGGCTGGGGAATGGGGGGTTGTTCAGTTCCAGGTGACAAGTGAGCCTGTCACCGGTCACCTAGGTGTCCCTGGGCCCCTCCCTGGATCCTCGTGGCAGCCCAGGGGTGGAGGGCAGGAGGTTTCTGTCCTCCCTCTGTCCCTATGTCCTGGGGAAGAAAAAGTCCCCCCACTGGTGACGTCCAGCCTGGAAACAGGGACAGCTCCAGGCTTCCCCAGTGGACAGCCGGGGACAACAGGCAGGAGCCGTAGCCGTGCTCGGGAGCTGGGGCCCCAGGTCTGTGCTCCCGAGACCCCCACCCCACCCCTGCACGGACCCCCCCAAAACACCGGGGCTCTGCGAGGTCGCGACTTCTCTTCCAGCCTGGGCCTGGGTTCAAGCCCAGCTCGACCCCTCCTGGGTGCTCCAGCCTGGGGTGGGGACGCAAACGGCCAGGACGAGGACCCCCGAGGCCTGGCCTTGTTTGCTTTTGCAAGCTCTGCAAGCTAGACGGGGACCCGGGGGGAGTCCCCCTTGCACAGGGGGCTGGGGGGCGCAGGCTGGGTGCAGACCTGCCCCCTTCCCAGCCTCAGGGCTGCAAAATCTTTTGCTTTTCTGCAAAATGTGCAATTCATTGCCAAAAGGTCGAATTTCCCATCTGATCACCCCCCGCCGCCCTGCCAGCCTCGTGACGCCTGCTGCTGCACGATTAGCTGCTTTTGCAACCCGGGTGGCACAACCGTGTGTCCCACCCGGAGCCGGCAGACGGTCGCTAGCTAGCTGCGGCCTGTGCCCACGGAAATGACAAGCGACACAGAAAACCAGAGAAGTCCAGACGTCTTGGTAAGGCAGCGAAGAAAAGGAAGGAAGCAGATTCCTCGCCTGGAAGGAGCTTGGGGGGCAGAGGGGTTCTCTGGGTGGGGGGGTCTGGTCGCTCTGGTTCTGCAGCTGGGTGCTGAGGCCCTGGAATGATCTAGAAGAAGAATCCGGGGCACCGGCTACAGCCCTGCAAAAAGTAGCAGGAAACTCAAGGCAGGAAACGGCTGGAAGGCACCGTGGCCAGTTCTGGAATGTGGCGATGCAGGAGGGGCCGAGCTGGCTGCCAGGGGGTGGTCCCCACACCCGTGACCCTGTGCCACCAGGGTCCCCCGTGCAGAGGAGGGGCCACACCCCGATCTCCCTTCCCGCCAAGCCCCCGGGCTGCAAGATGCAGCACCGCCCTGCAGGGCGTCACCCAGATGTTCCAGAATCCCGACGCCCGGGAGGGCTGGGCTTGGCGGGCCAGGGGACAGCACGCAGGGGACGCCCCGGCTTGCCCGCCCTGTCCCCGTCAGCACCCGCTGCAGGCCCAGCTCTCCCCGACGTCCTTGCTGTCCAGCTGGATGTGGTCGGCGGTCTTCTCGCTGAACACGGGGCCTCCGTGTCGCATGACGAGCTCGGTGGCCACCCGCACGAAGGCCTCCTCCACGTTGCTCGCGTCCTTGGCGGAGGTCTCGATGGCGCACAGGATGTCGTAGTGCTCCGCCAGGCCCTGCGCCTCCTCCAGGGTGACCTCCCGGAGCTCGCCGAGGTCAGACTTGTTCCCTGCAGAGAAAAGCCAGGGGCAGCGCAGTGACACCAGCCAAGCCCCACCTGCTTAGAAGGTGTGACATCTTTTCATTACTCTCTTTTCTTTTTTTTTGAGACAGAGTCTCACTCTGTCGCCCGGGCTAGAGTGCTGTGGCGTCAGCCTCGCTGACAGCAACCTCCAACTCTTGGGCTCAAGCGATCCTCCTGCCTCAGCCTCCCGAGTAGCTGGAACTACAGGCTCACAATAGCAAGTCTGGCTGATTTTTTTGTGTTTTATTTAGAGATGGG